CAACAGCCTGACACTTCTGCCTTTTCAGAGGACTTTCACATCTGCTCCCTCATTTGCTTTTCAAAATAGTGTGATGAGGCCAAAGGTTGGGAACCTGTTCTGTCCCCGTTGGCACGGGGGTTGAGGAGGCTGAGACAGGAGGAAGCGGTGCAGAGTCCCAAATCACACATCTCACAAGAAGCCAAGAGAATGGGCCTCCACTCCCTAGGGCAGACCCCCACCCTCCCCTTGTGCCTCTGGCTGGGTCTGGCTGGGGGGCTTCACCCTTGCCTGCTATTTCTACTTCCCCTTGTAAATGAGGCTAGGGGGAGCAAGAACAGGAGGAAATACACCCATTGGGCGCGGCCAGTAACAGCAGATCTGCACCTCCTGAACAGCACCTGGCAGCCGTGTGCAGCTTGGTAATGAGAGCAGGACAGGGAGCAGGTCCTCCCAGAGAGGTTCAGTTTTGTTTGTATTTCTCCGCCAAAACCCCTCACAGCTTCATAGTCACAGGGCTCCGTCTCCCTTCTCTGGGTGTGCACCCCCCCACCCCCACCCCGAGGTCTCCGTGGCCTCTGGACCCGGGCTCCCTGCAGGCCACGGCAGGCGCTGCATGCTGGTCCTCGCTCCTGGCTTTCTCCCCATCTGCCCCCACCCCCACCTCCCCTCTGCCTCCCCTGCAGCATGGGCACTGCAGCAGCGCCTTCCCTAGCTCAGGAGACCAGCCCCTTGCAGAGATGCAGCCTCCACCCAGAGCGTCCACCCCAGCCTGGGCCCACAGCACATGTGGTCCTGTACTGCTTCTGCTGTGTGTCTGCCCTCCCCTGCCCACATCTGTAATCTGCAGGTCTCTGGATCGTCAAACCTTTTTGTGGCACTTTTTAAACCATACTCCTGGGGCTGAGGCAGGCAGATTGGCCTTTCAGAGCTTGTCTAGAGTTCAGGGAGCTCCGTATTCCAACCCCACACCATAGGAGAAAGTGTGAAAAGTATTCTTGAACCTCAAAACTGTCAGGATCCCGGGACTCACTGCAATTCTCCCCAGAACCAGGCCGAACAGAGCAGTTTAAATCGGGGACTGTTCCCTGGCTTGGACTTGGTCTTGCAAGCTGGCACTGAGCAGCACCCCCCTACATAACCGGGTCTTCTGTCCAGGCTGGGGCCAGGCAGAGGCCTTGGCTTCCCACACAGTCCAGGGGCATCACCTTTGCATGGGCTTTCTGTGTTGAGGTCCAGTTCTGCCCCAGGATGCCTTGTTTGGCTCTGGACGTGTGACTTGGACTTTCTCTGGCTCCATTCTGCGGCTTGAAAACCGGGCATGAGAGTAAGGTCTACTGCACAGCGGCTTCATGGAAATTAAATAGCTCGTGGAAAGCATCTCAAAGAGAATACATCACATGCTCGGTGAGCATTCGTCATGTGCGCAGTGCACAGAGAAGTTCCGTGCATGCCTGAATCCATCTACACAGGCAACGCCTATATTTCACGTATAACATGCCTTCCCCCATGTTTCCATGACTTTCCGTGTCACTTTTAACTGCACACAACCCGAGCTGCCCCTTCCTAATACACCAAACTTTCTTACTTTCTGAAATTATTATCTATTTTATTATGCTTGGTTGAGAGAAACCAGTCAGTGTTAAACTTAGGCAATAAGAAACCCAGATTTTAGCCAGGTCTGAACAAAATCCAGGCTCAGAAGCAATCAGGGGTACAAAAGAAGGTGTTCCAACGACAAGAGGCTGTGGAACAAAGACAAAAATGAGGAGTTCATATTTGAAATGAGCCTCTCTCCACTGTCCTCAAGTGGGGGCCTGGAGCTCTTTGAATAGGCAGTGAACCCCGGAATCCGTCTCACAGCCTCTGTGCGTATTGCAGTGTCTCTCACAGCGCCGTTTCCTCCAGCTGAGGAATATCACCCCAAAGAAACACTCTTTTCTTGATAGGAGGGCAATACTTTGCAGGAGAGAAAGCAAAGATCCCCTTGCGTGATAGTCCTGCCTGCAAGGGTTAAATGGAATAAATTCAGAGGCAGCGTGGGTGAGAACTTTCGTTTTCAAATATTTGGCAGTTTATTATGCAACCGAATCCACCCTCCAGCCCAAGCAGCTAATCAGTCTACTAGCTCACGAAGAAATGTTATTATTAGACGTGATGTCACATCGCAGAACAGCATTCGCGGAATGTAACGCATGCCCCCACTTAGCGTCGGTAACCTGTGTGCCGCAGCAGAGTATGGAGCCAGGGGCTGTTTTAAACCCGGCCCTTCCCATGACTGACAGGTCGCCCGCGCTGCTGGAAGGTCTGACTTCACAGACCTTTAACTGTGCAGGTGTCTCAGAGGCAGTGGAAAAAAAAACCTGCCACACAGACGGAGGGGATTTCCTGTCACATGCATGGGAGCTTCAGCTAATGTCTGGGGGAGAAGCACACACCCGCAATTGGGCCTCGGCTGTGCCTCCTCTGTAATCTGCAGCCACTTTTCTCTTAAGAAAATTCCAAGAAATCCTACAGGGCACCGCGTGGGATTTAACAGCTTTTGTTGCTTGCCGGGGTCCCCAGTGGCCTTCCAATCACGCTCTGAAACGCCGAGCTCCTCTCCACGCAAGGCCCCTCCCTGCGCTACTTCAAGCCGTCCCCAGGCCGTCCTTTTCCGATCACCCAGGTCTTACCCATGTCCCGAGAGCTGGCTGTGCGGCTGCTTGCCGAGACCCCGCAACTCTGCCATCTCCCTTACCGAAGAAGCCTCGCCTTCTCCACCTACATGGCCCCAGTTTGGCAAACGCTTTGTTTCTTTAAAGTCTTGTGCTGTCAGCTAATTTAGCTGAGAGCCTACCAAGTGGCAATGAAGCCCTTGCTGCTTTCACGTTCCTGTAGGGCCTTCGGTCCCCAGAGTGAACTGCCCTGAGGGGGTTCCAGGAGCTTTCCTCCCCAAAGTGATGGATAGAGTGGGAGGGAGGGCAGTCCGGGAATGGAAGCCACCTCTCATGGGGGGCCTCTCATGCGCTTGGGCTGCCTGGTTTTCCCAGCCTCAAAAAATGCATTCATCTGCACCATTGCTCTTGATGTGACAGCCCCCCCAATGGTGCCAGGGAGTGCCCAGTCTACTGGCTGCAGCCCAGCAGTCAGAGAATTACGCACTGGGAGGACAGCGCCGTATTGATCAGCCCGGATCCCTGCATGCTGCATAGCCCTTTCCCTGACTCTTGGATTACTCTGCCCCTTGTGGTTAAGACAACAGGCCATGATCGATAATCAGTTCAGGGTGAACCCTGCAGAACTGCAGTAGGAATGACCACACCATCCCCACTTGGCTCACAGACAAGTCTGGGGGTTAGTATCATTCCTCAAGTCCACAGCAGAGGCAGTGAGGTTCCCAGCATGGGCCTGAGAGCTGATGGGAAGGGCCACATATCCTTCCACTGTTCTCTAACTTTGAGGCCAAGCATACTTCACTAACTTGGCTCTTTGGTTGGCCCTATCACCTGATGCTTAAAAGGAGTGTGTTTGGCAGCTTTCTGTCACTGTGACAACACACCTAGGGGAGTCAACTTGTAAAGAAGAAAGGCTGGTGATGGCAACTTCCGGTTCACTGGGTTTCAGTCCATGGTCATGCAGCCCCGCTGCTTTGGGCCCACGATGGCTCAGTGCATCATGGTGGCCTGGTGGGCAAAGATATTTGCCCAGATCACAGCAGGCAGGAAGCAAGGAGAGGGACAGAAGAGACCAGGGTCTGAGGTCACCCTCGTCCCATGCCCAGTAGCCTAACATTTTCTCTGCAGGCTTCACCCCCAACAGCTCCACTGCACCCCACAGCTGGGCCTCTGGGGCCTCTCAAGATGCAAATCGTAAAGAGGAGCGACTGCCTTTGAGCACGGTTTCTTGAAAATTATTCCAAAGTTCAGTGGTTGCAGGAGGTGCTTTCACCTGGCTTGCCCGACGTGTGGTGTGGACATCAGTATAACCAAGACCACCCCAGAGAAGGCACTCCTCTGCCTGCCACAGCCTGTTCCTTGCGCTCTTTTTTGTCTGGGTATCAGTTGTGAGTAAGGAACCCAGCACTGACTTGCCAGGCTGTCAGAGACCCACGGGGAGGTGCAGACCCCTGAACTGAGCGGAAGCTGTGGACCCGGGGCATCCAAGATGGCGTCGTCCTTGTTTTCCCCTCCAGGCCAGAGCAGCAAGCTGAGGCCGAGGCACTGTTCTAGCACTGGGCCTCATGGGCTGCCATCGGCTCTTGTGGGGGAGGCACCAGGCCTGGCCCTGCCTCAGGGCAGCAGTTGCACCCTGGGAAGGTCGATGTAGACAGCACTGGGTGCTAGCATGGCAGATATACTAGTTATTCTTCTTATCTTTCTGGACTGCTGATTGAATCAGTTGTTTTGGTGCTTGTTTGCCTCTTCCAGGAGAGCCTTTGTATACAGTACAGGATCTTCCCGTGTGTCCTGGGGTTTCCCTTTTCTTTCTTCTTTCCTCTCTGGTAGGGAGAAGGATGGGGAAACAGAACTGCCCACGGGATTTGAGCACGCCAGTGTGCGGTTGGCATTTGACTTCCATGTACAATTTCAGGAAATTGCCTAAAATCACTAAAACAGGGCACTCACTAAAGACCTTGGTAAAAAGAATGGCAGCAGTAAAGAGAAGGGTGCTGAACCTGGAGTTAGCCTTAGAGAAGCCATGTGTGAAGCCCACGTCTGTAGTTTTGTCAAAAGTGGTGTCTTCCTTCATTACGAAACCAAGCTCAGCAGGGCGTCATGTATGCAAAAGACGTGCAGATTTAAAGTAACAGCAGAACACGTGCTTGCAATACATTTCCTCAGCCCTAGAGTGGATCTTCTGTCTCTGTGTGTGGGCACTGCCTTCCAACCTGTACAGCCCAAGTCCAGGCCCTAGGCATAAAAAAAAAAAAGAGCCTGCATCCTCCTTTATGTTTTTCACATTTGGGTTCTAGTTACTGTGACTATTTCACAAATCATTATTTTCATTTCCTTTCCTCCCCTCTTAACTCCTCACTTCAGCACTGCAAATATCCCAGGATATACCGGCAAGGTTCATTTCACGGCCATGCACCCAGCAAATTCTCATATCCCATCAACCACGCCTTCACCGGACTCCAAGCTACACAGGTAAGTGTGAGTCCTGTTGTTCACTTTGCTCTGATGCGTGAGAAGGGGGGACCCTCATTATGGTTATTCCATCAAAGAACAATTAAATACCAAGAGAAAATTCACATTTTAAAAAATGAGGCATCAGGTCCAAAATAGAGGAGAGTTCATTTTACTACTGAGGGGAATTTTATTAGGCTTTCTGCATGCTTTTCTTCTGGAATCTTACTCAAAATGACAGTGCAAAACCAAGGTGGGCAAATGTTTATCTACATGTTGCTAACAGGCATCTTGAGACATGTAAAGCACACAGGGACCTTGCAGGGCCTCTAGATGGAAGTTTTGCGTACACACCTCCTCCTTGTAGTGTTAGAAAGAAGACCCATGGAACTCACTTTCACGCGACAGATTAACTTCTTCTGAGTAACTGTCTTATTTTTATAAAACTCCCTTGGCAGTCGCAGATGCATTTCAACTTCACTTTTGCAGACTGAACATAGAAGATACTGGATGGGAGAGGATGGAAGGGTGAGGACTCCTCCTCGTTATAACTCAGATTTGAGAGCCTTTGGTGGAGGTCCTGGGCTGCAGAAGAGAGGACATGGTTTTGAAAATGCAAAGCTGCCTGAACCCAGAGGAGAACTCCTACACATGTCCTTCTGTCCTTTGACCTATCTCTCCTCATTCCTTCCCCCCACATTCTACCCCTCTCAACTACTGTCTCGTTCTTTAACTCTGCATATCTCATCTTTTTCCATAAATATTTCCCATATAAGTGAGGTCGTGCAGCATTTTTCCTTCTGTGTTTGGCATATTTCACCGAGCACCTTGTCCTCTGAGTTCATCTAGGTTGTGGCAATGTCGAGATCTCCCCTTTCTCTGAGGATAATGCTCTTCTCAGTTTCTCTGACTTCCACATCCTCTTGGTGCATTGGTCATCACTGGGACCTGGGCTGTGCCCAGCACAGGGGTGGAGATGTCTTTACCAGGGAGATCTCATCTCCTTTGGTCCCACTCTGAATCTGAGGAGGGATTGACGGTGGGTATGGTAGTTGTGTTCCCAGGTGTTTTAGGGCCCTCTATCCTGTTTTCCACAATAGCTGCAGGAGTGGACTTTCCCACCAACAATACATAAAGGTCCCCTCTCCCCTGTGTTCTCACCAACACTTGTTATCGTTCCTCTTTCTGCTAATGGCTGTCCTAATGGTTGTAAGGGGATAGATAGTGCACTGTGGTTTTGAGTTGCACTTCTCTGATGGTATTAGTGATATTAAGTGTGTTTGTGCATCTATTGGCCATGTTTATGTCTCTTTTGAAAATATATGTTTTTGTTTTTGTTTTTGGTACCAGAGATCAAGCTCTGGACCTTGCACTTGTGAGGCAGGCACAGTGCCACTGAGCTAAATCCCCGAAAAAAATATATTTTCAGATATTTTGTCTCTTCCTTTTTTGCAGCAGTGGGGATCGAACACAGGGCCTTTGCATTAAGCTTTATCCTTAGCCCTTAAAAAAATTTCTTTTTTTCAATTTGAGATTGGACTCCACTAAATCACTGAGTTTCCTGGGCTGTGCTCGTTCATGATCTCCTTGCCTCGGCCTCCCAAGGACTAAGAGTACAGGCATGTACCACACTTGGCCCTTTGCCCATTTTCTGAATTTCTGAATTGTTTCATTTGTGTTTTGCTACTCAGTTGTAGTGTGTTTTTTTTTAATAAACCTTGGGTATTAATGCCTTATCATAAATATAGTTTGCAATCATTTTCCCCAATCTTTAGATTGCCTTCTAGTTTTGTTGTGGAATGGAGACTATTGACTTTGACATAGTCTCATTTATTTGTTTTTGTTTCTGCAGCCTAAATGTTATTATTTGTTTATTTGTTTGTTTATTTATTTATTTATTTATTTTGAGACAGGGTCTCACTATGTAGTTGAGACTGACCTGGAACTCACTATGTAGCCTAGGCTGGTCTCAAACTCACAGTGACCCTCCTGCCTCAGCCTCCCAAGTGCTGGGATTACAGGTATGTGCCACCACATCTGCAGCCTAAACTTTAAACCTGTGGAGAGACACCCGAAATATCACTGTCGTGGCCTTGCTGTCTCTTTGCCCACCTTCCTCAGTTGGAAGCTCTGTGCCCATCGGTGCTTCTTCTGCCCTTACTTCTGTCTGACCCTCACTTTTCTCCTCCTCCTCTCTGAGACCCTGGCCCCTTCCCTTCCTCCTTTCCGCTTGCTCCTGCATGCCCGGCTTCTTGCTGCTGGCCTGTAGCTTACTACGCCCAAGTCCCGCCTCCCACTTTACCCCTCCAGCTGCCCAGCTGCTTCTCTCCATCCTCCACTCACTTTAAACTCCTTACACCGTCATCTCCCGGCTCCCAGCCTCCACTTCCTCCCAACCCACGCTCCTTAGCTCTTGCCAGAGAGGGACTGATAAGGGGACCGTTGACTCTTCCTGCAGGCAGCTGGTGGTGTATTTGCCCTGGATCTTTGCGGTTGATAAGACCCGCAGTGGTGGTTTGGAGTTTTAAATTGCTTAGGTTTTCAGGGTGCACAAACTGCTGTGCCCCACACCGGTGCATGGATTCCCCCCCGCCGTGTGGGATGCAGGAAGACAGGAAGGGCTGCCCGGAAGGGCCTGGGGGAGAGGGTGGGGAGCATGTGGTAGGTCAGAGACGCTTCCCTCCCCCCAGCACCCATTTCCATTGAGCCCCATATGTTGCATCCCTGGCTCCAGACTGTAACCTGTGTAGACACAGGCACTCTCACTACACGGATCATTTCCTGAAACATAAAATTAATAATAATAATAATAATAATAATAATAATAATAATAACTGTGTTCACGTGTCACTGCCGTGACAGCTGGGAAACAAGGTGTATGGAGGAGGCCTGAATGGCTTCCCACCCTCACCGCCTAACTGCTACACTCAAGCATCCCGCCGCCTGAGTATTTATTGTGCCATGTGCGTGTGTCTACAATGGCAGTGCGTCTATGCACAGTTCCTGCGGGCACCATGGTGTGGCTCATGAGCAGGCATGGACTGCCACCACTACGTGTGGCAGCTGGGTAGTGCCTCATCCGTACAATGCTCTAATCCTCACAATAAACTGGGCAGGACAATTGCATCTCTACTGCGTGGGCAGCCTCAGACCAGGAAGAGCACAGACCCTCGCCCACCTCCCTGGGCCCAGGCTCCGGGCACCAGCGATGTGATGTCCTATAGCCTCCCTTGGAGTCTTCACTCTATGCCCCTCCCCACCCAGTGAGGTGGCTGTATCTCCTGTGCCCCACGCCCAGGGCCTGGCCACCAGGGGGTACCTTCTGTGCTGCTGGTCACCTTCTCCCCACCTACTATAGGCACAGAGGTGTTCAGTAAAAGAGAAGGGAATGCAAACAGCACGGAGCATCCCCAGCCTCCTCTCCTGGTCTCTAGCTGCCTTCCCCTCCCTCCCGCTCCCCTCCCCCACCCCTCCCTCCTATGGACATGTACTATTAGTTGGAGAACACATGAGGTTATACGTTTTCATGTCAATTTTATCCATCAGTTTCTTCTTTTCTTTTTCCATTCCGTCTCAGCACCTTACGAAAAGCAATGGGAGTTGACCTCTTCCGTCGCCAGGGGCCACTGTCCAGGATGGTCACAACTGTGAAGCCCTGCAACCCCTTCAACAGGCAGGAGAGAGAAACTGCATTCTTCTGAAAAAGGCCACAGCCTGGTGTGTGCGCTGTGGTGGGGAATAAAGGATGCGGAATATCCTGCTCACCTGTATGTGTCCTGGAGTCCAGAGGCAGTGTGCCCGGGCCTGCCTTGGGCTGTCCTCCCGGTGGTGGCCTCTCAGCCTGGCCTACAATGCAGGCCAGCTGTGAGGGTAGCGCAATACAGGGGCTCCTGGCCTCATCCCTCAGGGCCGGCATGGGAGGGCACGGTCACAGATCTGAGGATAGAGACCTTGTCACTGTGAAAGCAGAGCCACGCGCTTCTTTGGAGACTTTCCGTTGCACAGGGGACGCTGCCACGTCGGGAAACATCCGGGGGCAGGGAGCAAGGCCTCTCAGACCCTGAGCCGGAGTCACCAAGTGAGAGTCGAGTCCTGGCTCTGAGAGGTCAGAGGTCCACCTGCGGCCACCCCAGGGGCAGAAGACATCTGCGCTGCAAAAAATAAATCCAAAGAAAGGTGCATGCAGGTAACCCTAGTCAATTAGTGTTACAGAGTAGCAGAAATGTTATGAAGGACAATAACATGAAAAATGTGATCCTTGTGCTAGAGCAAAATAGAAAATCTGGAAATGAACAGGTGAAGTCATTGAAAACCCATGAATACTGGATAAATCTTTTTCCAACAGAAGATATTGAGAAAATGATTTGAAACTAATAAAAGTACGGCCCTCCACTAAACAAACTGCTCCTGGAACACAGGTTTAAATGGGTCATTTCAGGACAGATTACCCAGAAATCCGGGAAATTGGTTTATAAGGTGGTGTGTGTGGGGGGTGCGTGTGTGTGTGTGTGTGTGTGTGTGTGTGTGTGTGTGTACAGAAATTTTTTTCAAAGAAGACAATGAAGCAAACACACCACCAAGGGGAAAAAAGATTTCTAATATGAAAATAAAACAAAAAAAAAGTTTAAGACAAACTTGGAAAATATATCAGTGAAAACAATCAGATTCTCATTTTACTTATAAAAACAGCATTTTTCCGGAGATCAGATGAGATCAGGCATATTCAGGGTGGCATGGCTGCAGACAAGAAATAGCATTTTTAAAGAAGCTTAAACTATTAGGATCAGTGCAAAGAGCAGTAATGAAAAATTTCAAACTAAAATATACGAATGGCCAATAAATAAAAGTGTGCGCCTTGTAGATCAGTCCTGGCTGTGCTTTGTCACTTGCCCCGGGGAATTGATGCTGGTGTGAAGAGAGCAGCGACTTCAGGCCTCACACCCCCAGGGCCTGCCCGGGGTACATGTGCAAAAAAGGTTTCCAGTGCCTTTGCTGAAGCTGTTTCCAGTTAGTAATTTCACTTTTAGGATTTTGTCAAGCAAATGACCACACAATTTAATGAATGTATTGGCAAGAAGAGGTTAGAAAGGCAGCGTTCTATTTCATGGAGCGAAAACGGGAGAAACTTGATGCTTACTGAGAGGAACTGTGATAAATTGTTACACATGGACACAGGCTCTGCCTTCTGTAAGCGCGGGTTCCCCGTCCGTGGATTCAAACAAGCACGGATGAAAAACGTCGGAAAAAAATTGCATTTGTAGGAAACAGGCACAAACTTTTCACGTCATTTCCTCAACCGTACAGCGTAGTAGCTGTTTCCGTAGAATTTACATTGTATCAGGAATTGTAAGTGGTCTTTAAAGTGTGTGTGCAGATGAGTGTGTGGCACATGTAATTCTAAGCCACCTTATTTGAAGGATTCGAGCACCCACAGATTTTGGTGGGGGGGGCTGTAACCCCTCCCCGATCCACATGGGGGGATGACCGTGTGTCGAAATAAAATATGTACATTCGAAAGTAAAGCCCAATTGTCGTTGTCATGGAAGGGGGCGCACACAGTATCGGTGTGTGCAGATGCCCACTTTACATCAGCATGCATTTATTTTTCCCGTTAAATTCTATACATATATATGTCTATAGTAACATATGGATGTAAAACGAGGCTAATCGCTATCAGTGCTGCGATCACAACGCATTTCTTTAAAGTTGGAAAATCCATGTTGTTTTTGTCTAAACCTGAAACTCCATACTTGGTTTGTGCTATAGTCCACAACTTTGATTTTTAATGTCATACTTAAAATTATGTAGAATAAGAGTTTTGCCGTACAAATAAACTACGGAGTAATCTAAAAAATAAATAAATAAAAAAGAAAGTTTGAAAATCCGAAGTTATAAAGTCACTATCCCTAATATAAAAAGCTTCTGATATTAAAAAAATGATCAAAAGCTTCTTTTAAGAATTCAGACCAAGTCAGTGTCTGTCTCCCCTGAAGAACTGGTTTCTGAGTCTGTCAGGCAAGCGCCCACCTCAGTCATTTCCTCAGCTCGGTGGTGGTGGCTCACCATTTGGAGAAGAATGAAGTTGCAGATTCTTCCATTCCCCCCCCCCGCAGCCAGGAAGCTCCAGGCTGCTTGAATAAGTACCTGTGACTTAGACACTGGAACAAACGTAAACCAGTTTCACATTCGGAACTACTATTTTAAGAAGCCTTTTGAGTCATGGGTGCACACCCAAGACTGTGGTGGTTTGTGGACCTGCTGCCGCCCACCCCACCTTCTCCCTCCATGGCTTCAGATCTGTCTGCGTCTGCTTTAGCTCCCATACACCATCAGCAGCTGCCTTAGATCTTCAATAAGGTTGGTAAGATGCAGATTACGTCAAAAATAGTTAATTTTTCCCATAAGTGTGTCATGCCTACAATGCAGTGGGGACTTGAGACAGGGAATAAAGCCAGGTCCTTCCCTGCTGTTTGTCCAGGTCACCCTTGAGGGCAGAAAGGACAACTGTCCCACAGCAGGAGTGATGCGAACCCAGAATTGCTTTCTCGTAAGTGAGGATATTCGACAGTAGATCCTTTTGCCCCAGTTGGCTTAGGGTAGACTGAATTATCATTAAGCTCTGGGAACTACAGTTTATCCCTATGATCCCTAAACTGCTAAACCTAAAAGACAAAGAGATTGCAAAATTAAAGAGTGTAATTAAAAATGAGGAACTTGTATGTTTGCAGAGTCCGTCTTCAGGATTGATACTTTTGACCACCTGCTTGAAAATGTAAACATTGCAGGGCTTCTCTTATGCGACTGCTCCAAAACACAAATACAGGGCAAAGTAAAAGGTAAGAAGAAGCAGGGAGGGAGAGCTTTCGCAGATGGGAAGGGACTGAGAGGTAAAGGGAGGGGAAGGGCGAAAGTGATGAGAAAGAACTGGGATGTGCAGTGTCCCTGCACCGACTCCCCGTGAGGAGAGCCATCAGTGTGCACTGCGCGTGTGTACTAATAAAAACTGAAGAAAAAGGAAACAAACTATGTGGAAAGTGCCATTTGCACACCATGCCCCTTCCGGTCACCCGGGGAGGTTGGGGAGCACAGGCAGCCTGGACCAGGTCCGAGGCCACCACCCCTGCAGGGGTGGAGCTGTCTCCCGAGGAGACTCCTCAGGCTCCTCTCCTAATCTCTCCACACAGGCCAATGCGACGTTCAATCTCTAATTAGCGAGTGCTTTTCCTGAAAAACTGCTCTGTGCTTTTAGAGATTGAAGTGTCCATTTTTTGCAAGGTAAGCGTGCTCCTACTTACACATCCGTGCAAGTACACGTAGAGGGTGATCCAATAGCAAGTAGTGACAGATCTTTAGCACAAAGACCTTGGTTGGCCCAGATTCATGCTCTTTCTGAGAGTGAGAATTCACGAATCCATCCGCACGGCAGGGCACCTAGTGTCCAGTTGTTAATGTTGTTAATGAACTGCAGGGAAACATGAATGCTGGGCTGGATACCGTGGTACTCCAGCTTTGTGTCACCATAGATCCTTACCCATTCTACCTAAATGGCACTGGGAAGCAACAGTGTGGTTTTATTCGGGGCACCTCTTTTTGTTGAGTTTGCACTTTTCTCAGTGCAGTTAGCTTCGAATATCCTCCCAGCTGTTGTCCTCCGAGCAGTCCCTTTCCTCCCTGTAGCAGGTCCCTCACCCACTGGTGAGGGTTTGTGTGCCCTGCCGGAGCCCAGTGCTCAGGAAGAGCTTTTTCCCTGCAGGCTCGGATGCTGCTGTTCCCCGGGGGCTTCTGGGGCAAACTCCTTGGTTCTAATTTTGTAAACTGCACAGTGCACTGGGTGTGCCCCTACTTTTCCAGGGCTGGGAGACAGTTTCCATTGTCTTCTGTGGGCAAAGCCACAAGATAGAAGATAAGGCATGACTTGGTGCATGCCCTGTGAGCCAGGCAGAAGGAGGGACAGAGGAGAAGGCCCGTGGGGTGTGGGGCCCAGGCTTCCAGGGTGGGTAGCAGGGCGACAGGAGACACCAGGGACTCTACCTGGTCAAAGCCATCTGCTGTAGGGGGACTTGGACCCTGAGGGCAGGGCATAGCCCCACAGGTTCCCTCAGGCAAAAGCAGAAATCCAGAGAGGCCAGGGAGGCAGCAGGGGACGGGACTGTAGTGTGTGAGGACACTCTCGGCCACTTCTGGCCACAGGAAGCACCACAGGCCGGCAACCCCAAACCGGGTCAGCAGAGGGGGTAAAGGCTGTCATGCCTGGGGTCCAGGGCGGGAGGCTTCCAGGACCCTTTTGGGCCCCCAGATGATGCAGCTTCTCAAGTCCTCTTTATAAAGCAGTGTAGCATTTACATAGAATCTATATGCATCGTACGCATTTTTTTTTTTTTGTTCAGCAATTTGCAGGTATTTTTATTGAACTTTGAAAGGACCACAGGGAGGCTAGAGGAATATCTGATTCTCCATTGGGAAAATATACCCAGACTTCGGTTCCTTTGATGTGGATTATTTACCTCATCCACTCAGTCAGCCAGTCAGTGTGCAGCATGTTTACCTTCTCCATGTGGATATGTGTGCACAACACAGCTTAATTTCTTTTTCATCACCTGTCCCTCCCTTCTCACTGCCCCACCTTTTTCTTGATCCATTTCCCATTTGAGAAAGATTTATATCTCTGTTCCCTTTTATTTATCTTTTACTTTGCTCGTTTCTATTTAGAGATTTTTCTTTTATAAATGACACTTTCAAGACCTAATACATCTACATATAGGATCTGATATATGAGAATATGTACACTCATGTATATAAGATATACATATGCATATTTGTATATTACAGGAATTTTATACATCCTGCAGACGTTTGTAAATACATATATTTAAATGAGAATCCAAAGAACAAATGTGGAGACATGAAGATTTTATAAAATAATCCATTCCAAAATTCAGATGATCGCAAACTCAGTGGTGATCCATTTTTTTTTTCTCTCATTGAGTTTATTGGCACATTTTAGGTATACAGTACAGTTATGTTCATCACTGGGATCTTGTACCTTTACATGACAGGTCTTGGTTCTCATTTTTTCCCCTTGTCCCTGCCCTCCCTTCACCCTACGTTGCTCTTTATGTATAATTTGGGTTTCTTATTTGAGAGAAATCATAGGATATTTCAGCTTGTGTGTCCGATTTACTTCACTTAACATGGTGCTCTCGAGGTGCAGCCGTCTCCCTACAAATGACTCGTTGATCCGTCCTTACGGCAGAGTGGTGCTCCGCTGTGTACAAACACCACACTTTCATCCATTCATCTGTTGATGGACGTATAAGCCATTCCCAAGATTTAGCTGTTATGCGTTGTGCTGCTATTAACATGGGTGTGTGTGCATCACCGCAATATGATGTCTCTAACTCTTTGGGGAAGACACTGAGAATAACTGGGTTGAGTGAAATTTCTAGCTTTAGCTTTTTGAGGAAACTCCGCACTGATTTCCACAGTGGGTGTA